GGGTGGACGATTGTACGGTCGATGGGGGCGAACTTGTCGAAAGACTCGTCGTAGCAGAACGGGCCTCTAGATGCTTCATTTATTTGCAAGTTTCACACAGAGACTTTAATGCATATTATGTAGCCTAGTATGTAATTCAATACTGCTGCTTCTATGACGTTCTTTGCATTCTTGTTAATTACTATACCGAGTTCGGATTCATAAGAGAGTACGGGTCGAGCGTCTACATGAACTTGTATTGTATTAACAGGACCGGCGACGGCGTCTGCGAGGTTTGACAAAAACGTGGGACATTTGGGAACTGTAAGCGAATTTACAAGTATGTATTAACCAGTACCTCAGGCATTTATTTCTTCTCACCTTGGCCTTGTCGGTATGGCTCTCGTAGTTAAATTAGGTGCAAATTATAATCGGAATATATTCTAGAGCATATCAGAGCTGATTTTACGGAGTGGCCAGAGAGAGCTGAGTCAATATAAGCTGTCAGCTATAATGTAAAGATAACGATAGGTCCTATTTACTGTTAAGATTTCAAAAGCTAAAGCTAAGCTTATCCATCCCTGTATCCTTGGGTGCAGACTATTCTATAAGTTGAGTAATGCAAAGTATGATCTCAAGGACGCTAAGTAGAGACTTGTTAGATCGGCATATCATGGAGTGAGGAATAAAACTTACGTCGATGCGCAGGCAAGCCCCAGGGCTGCTTGGAATAATATCTCTCTAGCTAACGGTGCTTCGCTTGAACTGAGAGCGCTGCCCCCGGGCCACCAATCCCGGAACAAGCCGAAGCATATCAGGCAGATTACTGACCCAATAACAATGAAGCCGTCTATGAAGATACGAAACGATATGTAGGCAGGTGGGAAGATTCTGACCAAAGGGTAGACAAGTTCTATAAGCGACCAGCAAAAGGTCGTGACAAACTAATTCGTTAGTGTATAGGAGGTCAGAATATGGCTATATATATGTTTTCTTACAGCTGGTCCCAATATTCCAATTGCAATAAAGTTTTTCGGGGCAGGGATAGAGGAGACGACAATTCCAGCGATTGTGACCCCAAGAACGAGTGCTCGCAGTCCTAGCACCAGTTTGGTGGGCCGCTGTGCCTTTTGTGCTTGCGAAGGTCTGCTGTCTTTCTTGGCATCCATATTTATCGCTTCGATTCTCGATTCAATTCTTAACACAGATTGTAAATTGTATGCCAAGGTGAGAAATTTGAGACTATGTCTGACCTTTTATATCACGCGATGGATATCAAGGTAACAACGGTCCAGAGGTCAAAGCCAAGGCTCACAATCCCGCCCCTGCACTCCATAAGTGATTCCAGAGCATTCAGACAGCAAAGCTACTGAAATCAGATCATAGCCTCTCATGATGACGCAGTTGAATGCAGCTTGCGCAAATGCAGGCAACCCGAAAATTATCTAGAAGCTACCTATTTGACTCGCTTTTCAGAATTAGGTCTAGTTTGCGACGTGGAATCTAGCCGAGGCTCGAGCGCGGTTCGTACCAACAACAATTTTATGCGGTAAATAGAGTGTGTAGGCTTGGAACCACCCACTAGTTAACAAAATTAGCTTTGAAAATGATCCGAAAACTTGGTACAGAGCGCGACTAGAGAGTAGGTTCAATGCCGGATCAACACCCTAGGCTACTGACATGCCAAGTAGGCATCATGAAAGCCATATGTACTATTTGGCCAAATGCCGAGGCAATACTGATGCATGTGAATACACAATAGATTGTGTTTAAAAGACAAGACTTAGGCAAAGACTCCGTCATCATTCCATTTGTCGATCTGGGCCAATCCAGTTTATCTCAATTGAACTATGACGGTACATATTTAACTTGCCAAGGATTTATGTACAAGCGTTTCCCTCCGAAGACAAGTGTTCATTCAGTTGTTGGTATATATATATAGTACATGGCTGCTTCTTGCCAATGCAGGTTCATGAAGGCAAATGATCTTCAAGATCTATATTCAATTGTCTCACTGTTATGGTAGGTCGGTCCATCTTGTTATTCTCTCAGTTCGTACCTAGCCAGCGTTCTGGATAAAGGGTGACATCAAGACCACCAGCACTCAGGGCAATCGTCTTGTCGATTGAAAGTGTCAAAAACTTTACCGTCGCATAGAATTACGTCGCAAGATAGTGAACTGCTGCGTTTGGTGGTGATGACATGTCCACCTCGATGAAGGGTGAGGTGGCGGTCAGTGAATCCGTCAAGACGGCCAAATATAAGACTCAAGCGTCCAAGAAAGCGATCAATCCGTGCAGCATCCTCTCTCTCAGCCCCTGAGATATTAGACATGGTTTGGAGCATCATCTTCAGCATTCCTTACCTCCAGTTCCTGGCGTGGAGTTAGTAATTAGCGGAAAAAGTAGGGTACGTATAACGTTAACGTTGCAGTCATCAAAAGTTACGGCCCTATCTCTGGATACTTCATTAGCCCCGCATAGAGACCAAGCCAGCGCACGGTCCCAGACATATTGCGAGTCGCATTACCTTTTACGGTGTTCTTTGCCACATCTGAGCCTCGGTCAGCTAACAGATAGGCAAACTTCTATTCAATCGTCTTTAGAGCTTGCTATGAAGGAGTGACAAGTCGAAGGCTTACTAAATATTCTTCTATTATTAAAACCTAGAAAATGCTCAGGATAAATTTCCAGAAATATTATAGCCTCTTGTTTTTTTTTTTTTAATTTAACAAAAATACAATAATAAAGACAAAGAAGTCATGTCACCGTCTACAGAGATAAACTACGAAGCTTCCGGGAGAAGACCTCGTGAGAGCTCAAGCAAGCTCAAGCCAAGGCATCTATATATGATTGCTACGGGAGGTAAGCTGAGTTGATATGTATAAAGGAGTCAACTGTCTAGAGACTTATTACTAATGCTTCGCGTCTTGATTAGGATGCATTGGCGCTGCATTCTTAGTAGGAACCGGTCGAACGTTAGCGAAAGGAGGCCCCGTATTCTGCTTCGTGGGCTTTGCTTTTATTTGTTCTGTTATAGGTATCTTTTCTACGATCTTGACAGAAATGGCGGCTGCTGTTCCACTCAATGGTGCTGGCACCGACTACTACCCGACTCGATTCCTCTCAAAGTCTTTTGGCTTTGCCATGGGTTACAACTATTGGTTTGCCTACGCCATCCTTGTGCCTTTCGAAATCACCGTATCCACGCTTGTCATTCACTATTGGAATCCCCCGGTTCACGATGCCGTCTTTCTCACGATCCTTTTGGTTGTTATTGTTGGACTCAACTATCTCCCCGTCAAAGATTCCGGTGAAGCTGAATTTTTATTCTCTTCACTTAAAGTCACAATGCTTGTTGGCATAATGATACTGTCCATCATCATCGTCGCGGGTGGAGGACCGACCGGGGAGCGGGTTGGAAGCAGGAACTGGGACACTCCAATCAAGCCATGGATCCTGGAGGGTAGTGTTGGCAGCTTGCTCGCTTTTCTTGGTGTTTTAGTGAGCATTGTGCTTCCGGTAAGATATAACTATCTGAATCTGCTGGAAATACACTAAGCTGACAAAACGTAGATGGGATTTATCGCTGAGATGGTTGCAGTGTGTGGCGGCGAAACGAAAAACCCAGCAAAAACACTGCCTAAAGCTACTCGAGCTTTTCTCTTCCGATTAGCTTTCTTCTACGTCCTTCCCGTCTTCTTCGTCACCTTGATCTGCCCTGCAGACGCACCGGAACTTACATCTGGTGGTTCTGGCGCTGGCTCATCGCCTTTCGTTATTGGCATTAAGACGGCACATATTCGAGTTCTGGACCATATTATCAACGCCATTATCTTACTCTCAGCATGGTCCGCAGGTAATGTCTATTGCTATCTCTCATCGCGATCTTTGTACTCCCTATCCATTGATGGGTATGCACCTAAGTTCTTTGCGCATACCAACAAATATGGAACACCTTACTGGTCAGTCACTGCGAGCGGCCTGGCGGCTCTCCTGGCCTACTTGAATGTCAGATCAAGTGCGGGTCAAGTATTGACTTGGCTTGTCAACATAATCAACATATCGTCTGTTTTCTCATGGGTTTTGCTCTCTTGGTCTTACATTCGTTTCCGTAAGGCCCTCGAAGTCCAAGGCGTCGATCGAAACAGGTTACCCTACCGCGCGAGACTAGGCAAATCAAGCGCGTGGTTTTGTATCTTCTTTTTCACCGTCATTGGCCTCCTCAACGGCTTCCAGGTTTTCTTCCCGTCGAAATGGAACGCAGTCGATTTTATCACTGCTTACATTGGGATCCCACTGTTTGTTCTTCTCTTTTTCGGCCATAAATACTTCAGAGGCCGTAGTGAGCCTTGGTTAGTGCCATTGAATCAACTGGATTTGTCTCCATTGAGTGTTATCGATGCGGTTAGTGTTGGAGGTGAGGTGTGTGGTCAAGAACTGGATGGAGATAAGAAGACTAGTGGCTGATGATCAGAAGTCGGGATAGCTAGGAAGGGTCATTGAGCAAGCCTGAACACATTCTTTGCCAGCACAAATATCTGTAACCAAGAGAAATACAAACCTAGTGCTTCCTATTCTGGCCTTAAGTAAATATAAGTATAAAATAGTTCTGTAGAGTATAAGCTTAGTGGCGCAAACTGTATATATATATTAGGATAAGAATATATACTAATATAAAGCATCAACATACAGATTAATTATCTCAATCTCCAACCAAAAGACCAATATCGAGAGACAATAGAAATTAGTAACTGTCCTCTTCCAGAGGTGCTTTAATAGCCACATAATCGGTTCTTGCGTTGCGCTGAGTCCTGGTACATGTTCTAAAGCACTAATTACCTAATCGCGCCAATCTCTACTATAACTTTTAGACAGTTCAGCCACTACGTACCTCAATATTTAATTCTGCCACCTTAACTAAAGTCCTACGTTATGCTCTTTTTGGAATCTCGAGCCCTAGAATTTTTTACCCCGGAATTTTCTTTACCCCGCAACTTTCTTAACGCATCCCTGATCTCATTTCCACTCATCTCTATCAATCAATCTGTTCGAAGAGCAGTCTTATCATGCAGCGACCTGAAATTCGTTCACGACAAGGTAGGTTTAACAAAACACATACACGTTTCTGTTTTTCCTTTAGCCCTTATCTTGACTTATTCTAAGTTATATTACCTGTTAGCTGAGATAAGGGTCCCCTGTTTTTCTCTGATTGCATCTATCGTTACCTGGCTAATCGGCTCACTAGGTTGCTTGACTTGCAGGAAGCGTCATAGAAAATGCGATGAGAAGCGACCTGTCTGTACGCTCTGCCAAAAGTCAGGCCGCACTTGCGACTACACAAGCGAATTTCGTTGGGCGCCTGTCAACGACGTGTTTGTTATTCCTGATACTTCGTTCAACGGAGGTACCAACAGAATTGATCGAGAGGAGAGGCGAAAAACGGCCCAAAATCGGGGTCGACAACAGCGAATTCGCGCCCAAATGCAAGATGCACAGCAAAGCGGTATCAGCCGTCAGGTCTTGAACCAACGCCAAAACGAAACCCAGACTCCCAATCAGGGCCAAAGCCCAAACTCAGGCCCGGCCCCTTACGAAAACGACAGCCAGCTACGGTCGCCGGGAAGTGACCACCGAGATGGGCTTCGTTCTAGACCCGTACCAACTTTAGATACTTCGCTCGCGTCCTTGTCCTCTATTAGCCCTGCCACTACACGCCAGCAAGTGTCTTCACCGGAGGATTTCGAGGTTTTGACTCAAGGTAATAGCGACATGAGCTTATATTTCAACGACCTTTCAAATGTGCAGTTTGACAGCAATTGGTTGAACGCATTTGTGATGGACCAGGACCTCACGACATTATCCGCCCAATACGATGATCAAATAACAGCTACAGGCCACATCACATGCGAGCAATTGGTGCTGGACCCGACAAGTGTTGAGCGGAGCTCTGTCCTAACTGACGCCGACGCTTCGCTAGAAATCATTGAAAGCGAACATGAGGCCAATAGATCTAAATCTAGTACCGGTCCCGTATTTGGTACCACCAAGACCTTTCAGCACAGCCTTGGACCGCTAGCATCAAGCCTTCCCACTTGCACTGAGGAAATCGCGTTTAACTATTGTAAGTTTCTTGAAACTCCATCGTCTACCTACTCAAGTTCACATTATGCCTTGTCAGTTATGACCGATGCTTCCCCTCGGATCCCAGCTCTTGATAGCCCTGGAAATCCGTTTCGAGAGCTTTGCAGAGTCTCTATCTCATATCCACTGCTCTTACATACATTCTTGTATGTGTCGGCTGCAAATATGTACAACTATTGCAGAGGTGACCTGAGGGTCATGGAAGAGCGTCGGTCCCAAGCTCTGAGATCGTTGCGGAGTATGGAACGATATCTCCGATTTTCCAATACTAGGGAAGAGTCACCTGTATCCATAGAGAATCATGCCTTTTCAGTCCTATCTCTGAGAAGTCACTCTTGCTGCATATCTCATCCACATCGCTTCGGAGGTTATGACTGGTAGCCTCACGACGGACACACATCTTCGGAATGCGTTCAAGCTGGTGGTTGAACTACGATACATCGATAAGATGCCTGAAGGATTCTATTCTCGCTTCTTGGTGCAGCGATTTGCCATGATCGACGTCATCATGTCTCTCTTGCGGCGCCGAAAGCCCCTCGCACCCGAATATTTTATCTTGTATCAGCAGCATGAGGAAGCTGATGTATGTGGGCCATCTTTTCGTGAACTTACTGGCTGCCCTCAGCCTGTACTTTCTTTCTTGGCGAGGATATCGACATTGGCAACCGACGTTGAGTTGGAAAACGACGTACGGCTCGCTGAAGCGTATCAACTCGAAACGACTATGCGAGATTGGGGATCACGAAAGTACCCAATGCCACTGAATATAGCTGCTCGATCAAACAGCCCCCTGTTTGGTCATGGCACGGCCTCGCAAGATGACCATCTAAGTACCCTCAATGCATGCTTTTACTGGATGGCGCATCTTCTCCTTGCCCGGCGAGTATTTTTGGATCCCACAGCGTCAAGTCGAGTTCAACTTTACCGAAAACATCTTTTCGCTCTTATCGATAGACTTCCTCCGGGGTGCGGGCCAGATTCCTCACTTCCAATTCCATTCTACATGGCGGCGCGAGAAGCCATCGTGCCTTTAGACCGTGAGTGGGTGCGCCACAAGCACGCTGAGATGATAGCCATATATCCAGATCGCTCTCGGGAGCTTATGATGTCTTTGACAGAAGATATTTGGAGTATGAGTGATAGGGAATATCATGACTTGGTGCTCAAAGGGCCTTGGGATCTTCCTTGGATCGATGACGATATGAATGTCCAGATGAAGGACTCTCAAGCAATGCATTTTATAATCTAGGAAATAGCTATCTGATATGGAATTTAACCCGAAAAGGATATCTTGCACTGGTGACAATAGAATTTTGGAGGTGCTTATAATTCCAGCGCCGGCTTTAATATCGTGGACAAGAGTTGACATTGGAATTATATGGCCACCGTAAGTAAATTCACTATACGAAGCAATTACTGTTGAAAGAGAAAGGAGGAAGGAAAGACTTGCCTATCAGACTCATAATCGTTCCTTGCTTATCAAATTCTCCATCCATACGCCTCTTTCCAGTGGCCAATAGAGCAATCTAACCGCGCTCCCAAACTGCATGGCAGATATTGACCACGAATTGCGGCGGGTTCTAGGTTGAGTACAGTATGATAACTTAAGCCCAAAATGGAAATGCGTGTCGCATGCTAAAAATGGACATAATTTGCTGCGAACTCCCCACTCTTTTGCGAGCCCATCCACGAGTAGAAGGGGACGGGATCGTCCCGGCTACTGCTCCGGTCTGCGAACCGGTTCCACAGCCTGTAACCATCCCGGTAAAGATCTTTGATCATAGTGGATAACACTAACAATGGATTCAGACAAAGTTTTGAGTCACTTTAGGTTCACGAGTACGTAAATCATTACATTTACCAACTTGGAAATGCGAGCCGCAATCATTGCTGTGTTCAGATGGTAGCCGGATATGCTCCGGTTGCCCAGTGGTCATGGATAAATAGTTCCCATGAGACTCGGGATGTCTCAACAGTTACAACAGGCAACTCAATACAACTACCCAGGCCGACCAAGGACAATTTACACCATGGCTCCATCTGCAACCAGCCCTCAGTTAACTACCAGCAAACTCAGCAGTACACCCTTGCTATCTGAAAAAACTGCGCGCCATGTAGAGACTTGGTCCAAGCACATCAGGGGAGGGTTCCCAACCCTGCCAGTTGCTGTTGAATCAGCCAAGGATCATACCATCACCGATGTAGATGGCAAGGAATATATCGATTTCATTGGCCAATTTGCCGTCATGAACTTTGGCTATTCTCATCCCAAGATCGCCAAGGCAGCTGCGGACCAGGTCTACAAGATGCCGCTAAGTGGAACAGCTCACATCAGCCCATTGTACGTGGAATTCGCAGAGCGGCTCACTAAAGTAAGTAATGAAGGAATACCAGCTAAGCTTTGATGAGATGACAGATGCTAATCCCGACTTAGAAATTCGGTTTTGATTCAATTGCGACCATGCTGAGTGGATCTGAGGCAGTCGAATCGGCCGTCAAGATCGCTCGCAAATGGGCTTATCTCAAGAAAGGAATACCGCAGGATCAGGCTCATATTCTCACGGTTGACCAATGCTACCACGGTCTGACACTATCTACCATGCCCATGGCCACAGTTTCTCAGAAACGTTTGTTCTACCATTCGTAAATTATAACTCCCTGTGCTGAAACCCATTGAACGCAGATTTCGGACAACATCTTGCTAACATTGGACCATACGCTCCTACAAGCGGTAAACTTGTCCCTTTTGGAGACATAGATGTTTTGAGAGAAGTATTTGAGCAGGACGGCGAGAGGATTGCTGCATTTTTCGTGGAGCCAGTCCAAGGCTGGGCGGGGTTAGTACCAAACGAACAGTCAATCCGAGTGCCCAATCGCTGACTGTTCTATCAGAACCGTTGTTCCTCCCAAAGGCTACTTGAAAGCTGCACAAGACCTATGCAGAAAGCATAATGTCCTCTTGGTTTGTGATGAGATCCAGGCCGGCTACGGGCGAACTGGAAAAGACCTTTCCTTTCACCACGAACCAGAACTTGAGCCTGATATGGTGACCATGGCCAAGGGCATCACGGGAGGTTAGTCAAGTTCTAATTGAATTTGCTCAGAATCATCATAGTTGACTAACCTGCCATAGGATACTACCCCATGTCCGTCATTATGGGCAAGAAGCATGTCATGGATTTGTTGAACAAGAATGAAGTTCTTTCAACGTATGGAGCTTCCCCTATTGCTCTCTCCGCTGCTCTAGCTACGCTGGATGTTCTGGAAGACGAGAAGATCTCGGAGCGTTCTGAACGTCTCGGAAATCTTCTGGAGAAGACAATCAAGGAGCTCAACCCACCACACGTAAAAGAGCTTCGGGGAATTGCGCTTTTCCAATCTTTGATTCTTGATCAAACTATACCAGGCGTGACTCCTCGAAGAGTCCAGGCTCTCGCTGCTCATCACGGTGTGCTTGTCGGTATTGGTGCGGATCGTTTGAGATTTAGCCCACCTTTGACAATTACGGAGGGGGATTTGGTTAAAGCTCTACATGTTATTGCTCAGTGCTTGGAGGAAGTTACGCGTTTGGGAGACTTTGCTGGAAGTGAGTTTCTTAATTAGAAAGCCTATAATGTAGATATGAGACCATACTGTTCTATCGGAAGACAATAGCTATATATAAGGAACATGTTGTTAAAGCTTGCATATTTGTTTGATATTAATCCATGTGAAATGATATTATTGATTGATGTTATAAAACTCGGAATGGCCTCTTGAGCTATTTTTATGTACTAATAAGTAGTCTCGGTTAGAAAATAATAACGCTTTTGCTCGGAAGGTAGGGTGGTAAAGTTAAGTGGTATCAAGAGTTATATTCAACGCATTAATAGTTAGCATTTCACGGGTTAATAGAGAATGCAATCCATACCGGGCGGTTTTGGGGAGTCTTCGATGGACTCTTTAGCTTATGGAGGATGCTATCTGAGCGCTTTTAAGTGCATAGAAGCTAAGAAAACGATTATAATCGTATGTAAATCCTTAGATGAGCTGTACAATTCAAGGGTACATCCATAGAAAAACGATGTTTTAACTTCTTGCTATCCTCTTCCTTCAAATACCAGATCACGACAATGTCATTGCGTGGCCATGTTAAGAGGAACAGATGGGAACTTTCGCCGAGCATACCGGATCTCTAGACAATAAGGCACGCCTTTTTTCCTATCAACTTCATTCCAGTCCAAACTAGGTATGGAAAATATACAACTACGCAACCCATATCCAGCGCATCATACCATTCTTCGTCACCCATTAAAACTATCACATGACTGTCAAAGTCCCAGTTTTCTCGACAAGATATTCTGCTACAGCAACATCTTTGCCACTTTCCTTTCCGTAACCGGACTGCTTGATACCTCCAAAGGGACTCTCCGCGGCAGAGCCATTTCCTGTATTCTGTAGTATGTCAGTTTCTTGGGGACAGTAACATTGAATTAGACTGCTTCTACTTACTAAGCCGATCATGCCTGCCTCTAGATCCTCAAACAACCTCCACAAACGGTCCGAGCTTTTGGTAAACACATAGCTTGCAAGACCAAGGCTGGTGTCATTGGCCCACTTGACAACCTGTTCTTCTGTTTCGAACTTGAAAAGGCCACAAACTGGACCAAATGTCTCTTCTTTGGCCATCTGCATGTCCTGTGTCATTCCAGTAAGAACAACTGGCTCCATGAACTGGCTGCTCTCTCCCGAGGAAGATAACACAAGTGGTTTTCCTGATCCAGTTCTGAGCTTAGCTCCGTTTTCAAGAGCATTCTTGACCTGTGCTTCAGCCTTTTGAAGACCGACAAGCGTAGTGACGGCTCCGAAGTTATTGGCGGGATCAGCGCCGTGACCTGTTTTGAACTTGCTGGTCTTCCCAGAGAAGGCAGCGGCAAATTTCTCGTAGACGCCGGCTTGAACATATACTCGGTTTGCCGTAATACATGCTTGGCCCGCATTCCTCCACTTCAATGTCATGATCTGGTCGATGGCTTGGTCAATGTCAGCATCATCAAAGACAATAACAGGACAGTTTCCACCAAGCTCCAGTGTGCACTTTTTAAGGCCCTGAGCACAAAGACCAGCAACAATCTTGCCCACCCTAGTGCTGCCGGTGAAGGTTACCTTGGCGACTAAAGGATGAGTACATAAAGCCTCGGAAAGACCAGGGGTATTTTCCAAAGAGGTCGTTAGGACGTTGAATGTGCCTGCTGGGAATCCAGCTCTGGTGGCTAGATCCGCTAGGGCCAAGCAAGACAGAGGCGTTTCGGGTGACGGTTTGACAATCATAGAGCAGCCGGCAGCAAAGGCTGCGCTGGCCTTTCTCATAATCATGGCAATAGGGAAGTTCCATGGGACTAGAGCAACAGTCACACCAATGGGTTGCTTGATCGTAAGCACTCTTCTTTCTGCATTGCTGGACGCCCCAATTGTGCCTTGGATTCGTTCAGCTTCGCCAGCAAACCACCAAGCGAACCCTAGAGAATAGTCGATTTCTCCACGTGCTTCAGCAAGAGGCTTTCCAGTTTCGTAGGTAAGAAGCTTTGCAAGGTCTTCTTTAGCGTCGGCAATCAAGCGGTGCCATTCTAGTAGCAGCTGGGCTCTTTTACGTGCAGTGAACCCTCTGTACTCAAGAAATCCCCTGTAAGAAGATTGGACTGCGTTGTTGACATCTTCAGCAGCATTATCAGGACAAGTAGCCCAAACAATGCCGCTGCCGGGATCAGCGATGACAAAGGTTTTGCCAGACGCTGCTTGAACCCATTCACCGTGGACGTATGATGCTTCATGGAGAAGATCCTGGTTGAATAGATTGAACGGTCGCTGCGTCATATTGCTGTGTTGAATTTAAATGTCTGTGAAGATCAAGATGCATGGAAGCAGCGATAATCTTTGTGGGATGTTCAGAGTGTATGATCAGACTGTCGGTATAACTTGTGTTTATTACTCAGTTAAATACCTGCTTGAAAAGCTTGTAACAGACATGGCTTGGTAACATTTGGAGATACAGCACGTGCCGCCGGCAAACAGCCGGTTGTTTGACAAGTGCGAGTTGATCATTGGAGTAAAGATGCGTTTCGCACTTCCTAAATAGGTATAGTTCACTAACATGCTTCGATTAAATTTCTGACTTAAACTATTCTGTGATTCGAGTTTCGTTTTCATGCTGCAGAACTACGCTGCAGGAACAATGTATTATTCCAGCTATCATCATTCCAGCCTAAACTGGTAACAACAGAGGCTTGTTGCCCTGCAGCCGACCAGATCTTACCACTCAACTGCACTGTGATCGTATCATTAGCTGCAAATGTGATGTTGTTATGATACTCCAGGGACACCTTATCCTGAACCGAAGGCCCGGCGAACGTCAAAGTAGTGTTCATCGCATTGTTTTTAGCACTAGTATCGCTCGCTACATTCCGTATTGTCATAGTCACACTGTTGTTAGTTGTCTGCATAGTAGCGGTTCCTGCAGTACCACTAGTGGAAGCAGAGGCAAATGTGTACTCATTGTAAAAAAGAGCACTATCCTCTGGCCCAGTCGAGAACTGGAAGGTGAGGCTTTGGATAACAGCTGCGGTCGGTCCCGTGTTTGTGACAGCGAGCGATATGGTCTGGGTGCTTTCCGAAGACTCCACAGACGTTGGGTTTAAACTGACGTCTATGGGGCAGTCTGGCATGTTGACATTGTCTGCCCATGCCTTGCCTGTTGTATTGAGCCATTGCTCGACAGGAGTAGGCGGTGCCGGTTGCTTCGACTGCCAGATGAAAAAGACAACAAGGACGATGACTGCAAGCCTGTTTGAAGAAGTCAGAATGCCAGATCAAGAAGCTCGAGGTGGAAGGTTACTTACACGGCCAGTACGGGACCTGCTGCAGCAAATGCAGTACAGCAAAATGCTATTGCAGACCCGAATCCCGCAGCTGCTGTACTGGCTCCGAATATGGTCACGACCGCCCACCCTGCGGCAAGCTGTGCTCAAATTAGAAAAAAGGACCTCCAGATAGGAGAACGGGGATGATTAGGAGTAGCTTACCACAATAATAGCCCCTCCCAGGCCTCCCTCTATAGCTGCCAAAACAAGTTGGATGGTTGAGAAAATCTTCTGGCCTTGGCTCATTGATGACCAATCCTGGATCAATTCCCAAGTCATAAAGATGACTACAGCAACAGCAGCAACGTAACCGAGCCAAGCCAGCACTGTTCTCGCAAAATTGAAGCCTTGGCGCCACTTGACCACTGTCGAAGAATTCTTGATCAGACTCTGCAAGTCGCCATTTCCTGCATTCCCTGCCGCACCAAGGTCATCCATCTCCACCACGACCCTTGTATTCTTATCAACAAACTTCTGTTTGAAGGATTTCGGGTTCAGGGATCCGCCTCCTTCGGCGCTCGAGTCTAGGATCATGGCTTTAGTGGTCATTGTGTTACCTAGATAGGTGTCTAGGGATCGGGCCATCATCATCTGGCTCGTATTAGAGTAGAGGCCACTTCCCATTCGTAAAAAGGCTTCCCAAGCATTGGCTCCAAATTCCAAAAGCTGTAGGCAGCTTCCTACAACTGTGGTGACCATGAGACCTCGGCTGGCCGTGTCACTATCACTCCACTGGCCACTCATGTTATTGGCGGCGCAATATAAGGCTATAATTCCCACTACGCTCCATAAAGCTTTCTTACCACCTTCTGATAGTTTTGCTTTGGAGTCTGGAACAGGAATGACGTTTTCGACTGCTGCATCGGCTGCCACGCCAGCCCTCTGTACGCCACGTACGTAGTCGTAGATGTTCTTGGCGCCCTTTTTAGCTGCACTCCCTGCCATGCATAAGGCGTCCATGAAATTGGGAAGCGAGCCAGAGAACTCGAGAAATAACTGTTGCATTTTCAGCTCTGTACTCTGCGCCGCCCAAGATGTGTCCTTTGCTTCAGCGTCGGCTATATCTTGCATTATGTTCTTCAGAACCTCGTTTGTAAGTTGTTGGTCCTTGGCCAAGAGTCCAAGGAGCAGTTCTTGAATCAGCTCGGAAAGCCACTGCGACTCAACCACTCTGACCATCTCGTCGGTCATTTGGCTGATGCCCCAGAACTGTTGGCTCCAGCTCTCGGCCCTCACGGATGCAAGGACCTTCAGTGATAGAAGGTTAGCGTTTGTGTCGGTGATAGTGATAGTCTTTGACGATGTAGTTGTTCCCGTCGGCATACTGGGTGGGTTTAACGATGCATCTCTAGTTGGCGTTACAGCTTGTGCTACTGGTGGAGCTGAAGTTGCAGGCTGGGAAGAGGGAGCCGATGTGCCTGTAGAGGCTGGAGGCGGTAATGGAAGTGGCGGTAGAGAAGACGATGATAAATCCCTGGTCTTTTGATGTCCATTATCCAAAGCATCCATCACTACAGAATGTATAAGCAAAGGTTGACGCATCATACAGGTAACTTACTACTGCAAATCTTGGTCAATTGCGCAGTTCCCTATTTTATGACATTAGCTTCTCATATGTAGGTGAATATAAAATGCAGCAGGGACCTACATTCTGTGCGTCTGAGTTTTGCAACTCTGCAAACAATCTCGGGTCGCTAACGATCTTGTCGTACAGAAGGTCTGACCAGATGGCACCGTCACTTCCTGTGCCTCCATTCCAAAGTGTCTTGACCAGCTTATAGGTATCTCTCGTAACCCAGCGCTGGACTGCCCGGTCAAGTAACTTGTAATTTGGGTCTGCCGCAAGACATCCTGGTCCCTTGCCGCTCCACCAATAGTTGATTCTTTTGATTTCCTTGTTGGTAAAGCGATACTGAGTTCCAATATTGGCATCATTGGTAGTCATCATCTGGCAAATATATGCCGGTGCATATTGAGTCTGAATCCACTTGGACACGTCACTGTCTAGTTGGGCACCTAAAGATGGGTCCAAACCGTCAGGCTTTGCTGTTATTCCAAAGAACATCTCGCGGTCGGCTGAGTCCATGTGATACTGCATGACCTGGACCATCATAGTTTGTACGTCTTGGTTGATGGCGGGCGCGTTGTAAGGCAGATTTATCAGAGCAGTAAGCTGTGTGGCGGAGTCTTGATGCTGCGCTAGAAATGCAGTAATCGCACTAGGACTATCGTTGATCAGCGGTGGGACAGCTTCGACACTGATGGGCAAGATAGATTGCTCAACGTTCAGTTGCAATGTATCTATGCCTGATGTCAAAGCCGGAGGAGGTTCTGAGAGTGGTATCGGGTGCCACACAAGGTTCGACGAAGATTGACTTGTTATTGCTAGCGGTGCACCACGATTTCCATCTGCCTCCGGGTCGTACGGGAAAATGCAGCCTGTCAGACTCTCACCACTCGTCGATATCACGATCTGAAGGGACTTGTATAGCCTTTCGATGGAGAAGCTTTCTGACATACCAAGTTGCTGCGTGAAGTGGAGATTTTTCCCAGGCAGAGGCGTGTCATCGCTGGGGTCTGGTCTCGATTTCCAGGCCTGATATTCGTCAGAGCAGCCAATGATCATCTCAGGAGTCTCAAGCTCGTATGTATGAACCTCTTCGCTGTCCTTATTGTAAGATATTGTGCACGTGTATATTTCCCCAAAGTTGGTAACATTAATTCTGCTCGAATCAGGAAACTCTTTGGTTACTGACTCTTTCATTGCATTCTTGACCAACTCAAATTCCTCAATTTGCATCTGAGGCCACGAAGAATGGTAGTTCGCATTTGTTGGAAGTAGTAGTGTTCCGCAAGGGAGCACACAGTTAGGAGCCACTCCAGCTGTAGTAGGATTTGGATCGTAGAATAGTGGATAAGTGAAGTCGTAAAGATATGGAGGAGTTGTCGAGCCAGGAGCAGCTGAAGCCATTTGCATTGTTACTGGAGATGAGATCATCCCCAAGTTAACCGAACCTGGCTCACTTTGTGTTGCGCCTTTATCCGCTAAAGCTGGAAAGACTGACGGATTTACAGTAGACGCTGCATTAAGAACAAAAGGAATGACGTCTTGTTTCTTAAGCGATGCTTCATTACCTTCGGGGAATTCATCGGAAGTATGAACTAGAAAGCCAGACGCACGATTACCAGAGTTCACAAATTCACAGTGAGCATGCTCCCAGCTGTGGTCAGGTCGCTGTCGGCTCCAAGCAAGAGCGGCTCCATGCATGTCTACTTGGGGAACCCTTGCACCATCGACGTGCAAGATTCCAGAACGCAATTCCACAGTCCCTAGGGCAGTGTTTTGGTCACGATGCCTCATTGAGTATGTCCTGTGAAGATCTCGGCTGAGAATGCGATTGGGATTGACTTGTCGACCGCCGTAAGCCAGGGGCTTCAAAGAGTGTACTTCTTGGGACAGACGGTCTACCACTGTACCTGCTCCAAAACGAGCGAAAAGTGGCTTGAGATCTGCAAAGCTTCGAAGCATTTGAAGTCTCTGTTGCTTCGGAATGGCCTGAAGCTGCTTGCCGATCGCCGCTGCAGTGATCTCCGGATAGTTTAGCGCCACAAGGTAACCATTAGCATGATAGCTTCTGAGGCCTTGTCTCAAATGCACGCCGTAGACTGAGGTCACATTGCTTGGAACGGCTGAAATGGCTGTAATGGTCTCCAAATCGTATCCTGTCTTGGCAGGGTTCAAACGCAGCAACTGATGTCCAACCCTAAGTGTACCAACATCCAACCACGGGTTCTCTGTCCGCGCAAGGGAGGGGTCAATGGCGCGAATACCCGTTGTCGTATGAAACGGGTGCCCAGAGGTGAAAAAAGCGTTTCTACCATTGAAGCCGTAGAGAGTCCCAGGTGCAGCACTCTTCACGACCTCGTCACTGCAGAGGCCCCACTGATCTTGAGCCCCACAGAGTGTAAGGATAACATCGTTCTCGTGGAGTGTTTCTATCGCCACGGGACCTTTGGAAGTCTGCACCAAGGTTCCAGGCACGAAGCAGCTCCCACTTGGACCATCGTCATCAGTGACAACTGTATTGTCAAATGAGAGGCCGCTTTTCAGAAAGGCCGCCTCCTCATTTGCGTGGTACCAATTGACAAGGTCCGTCCCGTAGATCGTAGTGCGCTCCGTATCAGGAAGCATTCGCCTGTTAGTCTCGATTATCCCACTTTTGCTGGTCGTCTCGGTTTGGCCAGCCGCAGCTACAATACCGTTTATCCAAAAGTTACCCGTGCTGTTATCGTTGATAGTAACCATCCACTGGTACCAAAGTGTGTAGCTTGTAGAGTAATAATATGACACATTGGCGCCAGAGAAGATAGTTTTGGTAGTGATCATCATATCTATGTCTTCGCTGTGCATTGGAACGGCAGTTGGTGTCTCGCGGGGTACCAGATTGGCGTTTTGCATCGCAAGAGCATAGTCCTGGATGGTTGCGCTGGCTTTACCATTTGGAGAAAAAGTAGCACTTGGGAGATATGAGATGGCCAGGACCGTCACCTGCGATGGAGTAAGGTCTTTCACTACTGCAGCGGGGCCTGTAATCTCATCCGGGCCAGTGGGTAGAGGATGGTTCTTCTTCCACGCTTGCATGATGGCAACGCCCTGACTTTCAGTCGTCTTCTCACTCAACGTGAAACCTGGACCTTGGACGAAGTATTCATAAACAAAAAGACAGGTCATTCCGAAATGAAGGTCACCATTGGCTCCGAAGGGGTTGAACCTTGGATCGATTATGAGATTCTTATAGGCTTCGACCAAAAGGGGTGTTTGCTTAAGAATTCTCAGGGATTCCAACCCGTCAGCATTGAGCTGATCGTTAATGTGGTCGGCAAAGACACAGGGCATTATAGTGTTGAACTTTTCCTCAGGGACTTTAATAGCAAGATCCTATTGACATATTAGTTCAAAAAAAGACACCCTTCTGGTGGCAGAGCATACACGGTGTGACATAGCCTTGAAGCCATAGCCTAAGTCGAGGTCGGCAATGTGAGCAGCTATAGCCGCATTCCCCATATGCTCAATCGTCTCGGTAAGATCAATCCCATCAAATGTACAAGTTGCTTGGCTCTGGACAGGACTTTTGAAGTAGGCCTGGAGACTAGACATGGAGGGAGTCGACAGAAAGGCGGACTGCAAGGTCGCAGTGACTGCATCTTGGTCCAATGCTGTCACGCGGCCAAGGCTGTTGAGGAGTTGCTGGGCCAACGGCTTGAAGGCCTCCCAGGTCGCATTAGCAGAAGTTGACATATTGAGTGTAGTGATTTGTAGTATCAGTTGTATAATATTATGTTGAGTGATAGTGAGAGCAGTTAGCAGCAAATGCGGGCAAGATATTGCTTACTTATGTCTTACAGTTTGGTATGTTTTGTGAAGATAGTAGATCATATTTTCTCTCTGTTAACAGTAGCAGAAGAAGCAGTCACATACCAGTGGGATTCCACCTGTTACACCGCACAGCTACTGCATCCCCGTTCACTAACTTTGAGATATTTATACGAGGGCAGGCTGGTCTAGATTCATTCATTTTGACCTATTCTGGGCTTTCAGCTTGCCACTCTCGACCCTTCCGTTCGTATTCTGTCCATATAAGGTTTCAGCTGCTGTCTGGAACTGGGCCCTCTCCTCTTAGTTGTTGGTGAAAAGCCCAAGTATTGTGGCGCTGAGATAACATGTTGCTCGAGACATGATTGTCTCGTGCAGGCCAGTCTCAGCCGCAAATAATGTCTAAGATGGTCTATCACCACGTCTGCAAACGGAAAAAGCGACATAACCCCACTGTAGTCATATCCTTCACCTATCACAACCAACCAAACCAACACTACTCATTTCACATTCCAGGCCCCATGCAAGTCACTTCAGCCACTCATAATCAGCCGCAAAGATGATCCAATACTTGCCTTTGCAGGCGTTCGCTGATCGCATTCCACTAGATAATAGACTCAATGTGCTTCGGCCTTCTGCCCAGGGATTGTAGTAGCTCCCATTCTTGGAAAGATTCTTAGACAAACCTGGGTGACCATTCGAGACAAGTTGGTCGTCCTGCGTCGTGTGTCAAAGAGGTTTTTGAACCAGAAACGCTTTAACCGATAGTATTAAAGGACTTTGCACAAGGGCGAAAATCGACAGCTGCCACAGAATGGCAGTTCGCTTTTGCTTCCTATGTTCGAAACACACCATTTAGCGATCAAGCATCCGCGGATATAGAATTTTCAACACAGATCCTTAGCTCTCTTTATAATTATCCTCATGCATATATAGAACTGGCTGAAAAGTGTAAGCAGTAAGTGTTGCGCTGTGAGCAGCCCAGCCTCATCTGATTGGTCAGATTGAACCCACTAGATGGTAGGCCCGTAAGGATATGTCCGTTGTGTCACTAACTCCGAAACTTTAAGCAGTTATGTCAGCTTATTGAACCAGTGAACTTCTTGGGGGCAACTTGAATAGTATACAGGTTAGTTAACAAATGGTTTACGAAGTCCTCCTGATTTATTTGCTTCCCCTTGTCATTTTCTTATCTCAGTATCCGAGGAATTCAGGTCGATCTTGTTATAGTGGGTCTGCCGCATTATTAACTTATGACAAAGCTTCAATTCAATGTGTGGTAGTCGCATCAAAGAGGAACATAAGAGATGATTCTATGCTAAAAGGAGGACATGCTAGTCTCCTTAGATACCAATGGAGCTTGGGCTAACAAGAGGCGAAGCGGACCAATCATGGAAATTCCGCCTTTTGACATAATGCGGTCTTGTGTTCTACCTTGACAACGGTTCGCCCGGGATCTGGGACCCGAACAAAGGGTTGCCGCGCCAGGAACTTGGTGACATAGTTGTTCCCGATCATCCAGGGATTAATCGCAGGCACTTGAGCAATCATAGCTGCAGGCTCAAGGGAGCAGCTGATGCCACTGACCATAGATTCGACATCTTCCCTCTGTTCTACGAAGCCGAAACGTCGCTGAAGTCTAATGGCGGAGATGACTCGAAAGCGTATCACTGGACCCAATCATCTAAATCAACGCCTTGTCCTTCCTACTGTTTGATGCAAGACTACCACAGCTATCATCTGCAAAGACTTCCATGGCTTTGATAGGGAATATGGAGAACTCTTGGGTAACTAGGCGGCGAAAAGCTTGATGAACCGAGTCTCTTTGACGGGATACGTGCTAGGCATAGGACTGTTCTTGTAAAACGGACATCATAAAAGGCCGACTAAAACGACGTCAGTGGTCCCATGCACCATGTCGTAGTGGAGATGTATGCCTTGAGAAATTGGCTTCCAATTGAGTAGACCGACACAATAACGCTTGGAAGGGACCGAACCAGTTGGAGCTGAAGAATGGAGGTGTTTCCGCCATTATGCGAATTTGTATGATTTTGGGTATTCAATGAAGTATCGGACACAGTCTTGCAATTGACTTGTCTTATGTTATTCTTTAGGAAACATTCTTCACTATTCATTCAATTTTATTCTCGAACAAGTCCGGATCGTATTTTATCAATCGAACTTGCTACAATCAAAGTGATGTAACAGTTCTCCTTACAACAGTCTCATTACCAACCCACTCTAACAATCCACCTCGTAACTAGATGAAGTTCCACCCTCCGCAGCAGGGCAACCGCCAATGCAGCCACCACATCCGTTCGGAATAGCACTGGGGCATGCGTCGCATGAGGGTGCACCGTTTGCATAAATGCAATTGTAGCACTGCGCGTTGGCCATGGCGAATAGGCCGAAAAGGAGACTAATAACTGACAACTTCATTGTATATATGTCTGAGTGTAGCTATGTCGTTAGTACTAATCGAAGCTGGGTGATGTTTAGTCGTTAGGGACCTACCTTAATGAGCGTTTAGAGATTGGAGACGAAAATAGTGTTAAATACAGAGAGCTATTGAGTAGATAATAAAGAAATCTATCAGTGTGTTTGCCTGGGTTTATATAGGTAGTTCTTTTGGTATTATGTTACGTGGGAACTGGTTACACGTATTGTATTGCTTGACAAAAGACACCCAAGCTTTAGATCATCAAAATCGACCCACGTTGTATGGAGATATGGCCCACATGTCTTGGCTCTTGCTCTTATGCATTCTGATGGGCTTTCCATCAACATGGTCTACTTGAGATAACTCCTGCTTGATTATATATATTCTTCAATTTAATACAGTACTAATTTATATTTAATATACTAAAATATTACAGTACCTTGCCAAAACTGTTATCCATCAAAGAAAATTAGTTTTGTAGCTCCTGGTGCCTTGCATTCTGTACTGCCTGTTGCTCTGGATTATCAAGCACTGCATTTTTTGTTAAATAGACTTTGATATAGTGGACCTTGTGTTGAACATCGCATTTTCCCAAGTTACCGACATTTCCTGATTTGAGATACTGACTCGTATGACGTGTTATGATCGACAGTGTAATACGCGTCGTGGTATCACAAGTGGTCCGGGATCAAGTCAGTTTAAACTCTAATCGAGGTAACTCCTTCTTTAGGATTTTCAAGGAGGAATTGTCTAAATATATTGCAGCCGGGTCGGTTTGATTATGTATCATGACGAACATAGCGTTATCTTATTGTCTTTTGAGTCGTGGTTCTCGCGTAAATACAATTCAAGCCATTCGTTGGGGTGCACTAAAAGTATGTTTGCCTAACTCCGGGCACAAAAGCCGACAGCTCCGGGCGCCAAAGCTTATTTCAGAAGCTAGCGCCGCACTATCCGTAAGTCTGTGCAAACTGCCCGAGTAAACGCGTAACATAATACAGTTCACTGTACCCAGTAAGACAGACGTTGCACGTTTATCAGTGCAAGGCGACCAATTCGCCTAAGATTCTCCCTCGTATTATTATTCTATGTAAAACCATTACCAATATTGGCCCTTGCATTTACCACTGAGTAAATGCGCGATTTATATTATAGTTGCGGTTACCGGGCTGGGTTATATGTGATGCTGCCCTGGGTGCCAATTCTCCTCAAGCTCCACCGACCGTCGTGTTTCCGGTGTTCTTCAAAGACTACAGCAAACTGCACCTCGCTGGGTCTTCATGGGTGACACGGCTCTATACAATGGGAAGCGTAATGGTCTGCTGAGCAAGATGACCGAGATCACCGCAGGCCTGCAGAAGATACCTGGCTTTAGAGGTCTCATTTCACAGACACAACTCACGCCGCCACAGAAACACGTGTCAAGCATTCCAATGGTTCTCAGTTTGTCTCATAGTCCAATGGTCGAAGCGAATTGTCTTGCATGCTTGCAGTCCATTTCATCCGCACCCGGCAGCTTTGCGTGAAATATCCGCTCATAAGCGGTTAATCAGTGCCGTAGATCAAGGGTGTTCAGGTTTGCCGATGTTGATTCCATTGTAACTCGCTTTCGGACTTCATTATTATTCGTCCGATCTCGAAGGCTTGTAGGTTGTCAGCGACACGGGAATGATTTTTCCCAGAAGCCTTGTTTGAGTTATTTTATGACAAAGGATAAGCAAAAACATACACCAGTAAACAGTATGTCAGGCTAGACGGACATTGCCGGATGCTTTTGCCTTGGCAACGCTCTAACTGCCGTGTCCTCCGGTGGATGCTCTAGTCTAACTCTAGGAACCCCAGTCGAGGCCTATGTCAGCGAAAGCCATAAAGGTAATACCACGAGAAGTTCAGTGCCTGATGGTACTCCTAGGGAGTTGTGGCAACGGCAGCGTTTCTAGCATACCAGCTAGCTTCTGTGGTCCAGGAGCAGCCAGGAAGTATCACGAAGCTTACCTTTGGAGTTGATAGACCTGACAGGTGATGCTTGCATCGCGCGCCTTACCTCGTTTACGTAGACAGTGGCGGGCGAGAGATATGATGAGCGCGTGTTCCTGTTTCTCAAACCAAGTAAAAAGGGAGCCTCACGAATGAACTGGTCAACAGGGTTAACGAGAGGATCCAGGCATCTGAAACTTTTGCTAATCCCTAAAGCTTAAAGTATTTCTATCAATTTACCGAGATTGATAACAACAAGGGTAGCAAACCGTAAAGCTGTTGTTCCGTAATAGCCTCCGCGACCAGTAGTTAATGTTCCCGTTTCAAACTTGGTATTATTGTACAGCAATTAGACGATATAAACCGGAATGCGACTCGCGTATGCGTCGCTTTTGCTGATGTGAATATCCATTTTGTGGAAATCGTGCAACTGCAACCAGCACAGCATACGGAACATAAGTACGCACCAAGCCTCGTTGAGCTCTTTGTCCCCGAACCTTCCTAAATGCTTGGGACGAGTTGCGCTCCTATCATCTTCCGAGACAAAAGAATCTTGTCTTCCTTTCAAGCGCTTACTTAGCAGACCCTGTTTGCTGAGATTCCGGACGACGTTTTGTCGGACGCGGTCAAAGTACATCTGAATCAAAAGAGTCTCTTTGTCTTCACCTGGTGCCGAATCAATGTCGTGAATGGTGATCGGTGCATCTTCAAAAGCTTTATCATTGTCGTCATTCTTCGTGTTATCGTCGACTTCGTTCTTCTCGTGTAGAATACCCATGACCTCTTGGATATGCATACGGACAACTCTCTTGATCATGGACAATCCAGGTCTCTTCATCCTGCCAAAGTACTCATCACACAAATCGACTCCGGATCGGAGATTGTTGAGGTGATTGACCAGGTTTGCACCATTGATGTCTTCGCCAAAAACATCTAGCGTTGATCCTTCTGTTCGCAGGAGTGGGAACCTTTCGTCCGCTTCTGCCCACTTGAGGATTCTGCTTACTTGCTCGCTATCCTTCAAGGTTGTCTCGTGTAGAGGCTTCAAACAGTTGATGTATTCCGTCATTAGTGCTGAAAGAGAAAAGGAGCTGGGATCCCAGTAGAAAACGGTCGGGTTTGGAAGCATACGGAAGACGGTGCCCTTTATATGAAGCATTTCTCCGACCATGCCAAGGATTTCGAATGGAACTGTTCAAGGTCAATTTTCTCTTCGATCAACCCAACAAAGGGCAACTTACCCGCAAACAAGTGAGTGTGGCGTGCTTGGTCAGGCTTCCGGAAATAGTTGACTGTATTGATATCACATCCCAGTACCACGAGCGTCTTCGCAATCTCAGCCAGACTCCCCAGCTGAAGACTCTCGGCTCCTTTGGCCTCATCAGCATAGACCTTCTTCTCCTGGTTGAAGATCGTTGGGGCCATGCCGAAGCATAGCTGCTTGACGTTGTAGTTGGGGATCACCCGGTTCTTCTCGAACCAGGTTGGTCCTTGCTTCTGAAAGTTGAAGGTGATACCAAGACCGTCCGTGTATGAGCCATATAGAACAAACCCGTTACCCTGACCGCGATACTGGTCGGTATTGAGATCAAATTTTCTCCAATGAATGCCCAGCATTCCCGCGATTTCTACAAGATGCGATATTGTGGTTGTGGCATAAGGCTTTGCGAAGTCCTTGGGCATGCTATCCCACGTACGTCGCTTTCTCTGCATGCAGACGACTAGCGAGTGATGAGCATGAGGCTCTTCTGTGTCAATTGGTGGGCGTGGCCCAGCTGCCTTGACCCACTCAGCTGACTTCTTGCCTTGCCACTCGCGAGATTCCTTCTCCATCCTGACAATAGCCATGAGTAAGCCATACCAGGTAGCCTTCTCATTATCGGCCGTGTGAATGATGCGCTGCGTGCTCTGCTTGTATTCGTTGTCGAATTCCTTGACGGTATCTGTGTACTTGAAATTGTCATTGCCGCCATCCAGTCGAATGATCTTCTTGCTCTCGTCCTTGGCGAGAGCATCGTCTCCTAGCGGTCCCCTGGTGTTGCTGGGCTTGGCGACAAAGATAACTGGAGCCTCAAACTGGACCTCGAAACGGAACTCGGACCAGATCATCCGACGCCGAGCAAACTGTGCCCATTTTCCTATAACAGCTTCACTGCATGATGAAAAGCCGGTCGCTGTAGCGAGATACTGCTGCAGTGCCTGGAGAATCGCAATGACAAAGGCCAAGACGGAGATGACCAGTGCAACCACGGCAATAATAAGCTCAGTATTGCCGCCACTGCTTCCCCCAGAGCTCGGGTCTGGTACAGCTGTTGAGGACATTTGAGAAGCCGCAGTACGTGTCTTAGTGATGATAATTCGATTGAGGTGCTTGTGAGGTCTCAAGCACTTGGTTTTTCTTGATGCCAAGCGTGGGTACCCATAAAGCGATGGCTGGGGAATCTGACTGACGCGCTAAAAAGGGGCAAGACTGTCCAATTACAATGGGTTCGTGATGATGCACAGGGGTTGTGGTGGGGAATGGCTAATTATAGACTGGCATTGAGCGCTTAGCTTGCCTAGGGTAAGAAAACTCAAAGACCTCGAGCAGTTAATCCTAAGGAATAAAAAGACTTAGACAAGTCGTCATAAGCTTAGAGGACTCTTTAATAACTATCTGTACATCGTAGGCTAGTATTTGTATCTAATTAATAGAATTGGGTCCTTGTAAGCACCAGAACCCCGCTTAAGCATTCTCAGCAACATGCAGAGACTCCATGCTTTGCTTTCTGTCCTTGGACCGGAGGTCTTGTAAAACCGAATCAGTGCTACCACCTTCAAAAAGATACCTGACTTCTACAACAGTTAAGCCCTTGGTTTTAGGGAAGATGAAGTAGATTATGGGCAGCTGGCACGCAACAATAGCAATGAATACAAGGTAGTACTTCCACGTGACTGTAATACAAAAGTCAGCAAGAGTATTCAATCATCGAATATGCAGTAATGCATGCACTTACTGGCTTCAAGAGCGATCTGATTGACGTATTGGTTGAATAAGCCAAACCCAAAAGCGGAGGCAAAACTAATAGATACTCCCTTTGCACGCAAGTCGAAAGGGTGGATCTCGGCCGTGTAGAGGGTTGGCAAAGGGGAGTACGTAAAGTCGTATGCTCCATTGAAGAGGAAGGGGAAGGGAATCATACAGTAGCCAGCAGATATGTTGCCGGTAGCAAGAAATCGCTCATTACAGATTGCGACTGCAATCAAGGTCACGAGCATAGCAACGCTTGATCCAAGGAAGAGCTTGCGTCGGCCGACTTTGTCCACAAAGAGGGAAGCCAAAATAACCATCAACCAGTTGAAGATCTGAAGACCGCCGTTGATGCCAGCACTTTGAAGCACCAGGACGAAGTAATAGCTGACGATTCCATTGCCTGAACACTGTGCGAACAAGGCAACCATGAGAGTAATGAAGAGTCGCTTACGGTTGGGCCCCGTACGTATGTAATCCAGCCAGCCAGCCGTTTGTTCAGATGCCTCGCCATGGATCATTTGGCAGACTTCGGTGTACTCGAGAAGAGCCAGCTCGCCATCTTCTATGCCATTAGCATGGTATGTGACGAAGAAGTTTTTGGCCTCTGCATTTCGCCCCATCTTGACAAGCCAGCGAGGTGATTCTGGTACAAACACGATCAGGGATGCTTGGATGACGGCAGGCAGGATCTGCATCAGGGTAGGAATCCGCCAACTCCAGCTTGACAAGATATGCAGAGTGCCAAAATTAGTCCATGCAGAAACTGTGACATCGTTGGTTCGTGTTTAACAGTTGGAGCTTAAGAGCATGACTTACCAATGGCGCCAAGAAAGAAGAAGCTGCCAAAGAGAGAACCAACAGTTCCTCTTTGTCTCGGCCGAGCAAGCTCGGTTATAAGCACGGGGACTGCACACAAGCAGATAACAATACCAACGGCGAGCTAAATAAGAGATAAGTGATCTGAGAACTCCAAAGGTTTTGAGGGTGCCTTACGACAAGTCATGTACCAAGGTATGATGCCCATGAGGGACAAAACGCTTGCCCTGTAGCTATGGAAGGTTAGAACCAGAAGTCATCAAGCTGTGAAGGATGGTAAATACCTGAACCAATGACCAAGATATCTCCCAGAATAATGACCTTCTACGGCCAAACTTATCCATCAAGTAGCTTGTGGGGAGGAAGCCGATCAATCCACCTAAAGACTGTGTTGCGATCATGAGTCCTTGCTGGTTTGCGTCGGGCAAGCCAAGGTGTTGCAGGTTGTTAGGAAGCATTCATTATCGAGCATTGGCAAGGAAACGAACCTTTGAGCCCTAAGTCCTGTTAGTAACCCCCAACTGCGGAGAACTGCAGGATATGTGACTTACACTGAGGGGTAGCAAGCAGTCCACCAATCAGACTGCCATCAAAACCAACCATGAAGGGGCTCAAAAACAATACTGCCAGCCAGAAATTGAGCGTGCGTAGACCAGGGTCGCGCCACCATAACTCATTGCAGTTATTTGGGGCCTCTAGGAAGGATTGAGGCCCCGAATGTTTCGCCGGGGATAGATGAGGTGCCATTCTGGATAGCTGCCTGTAGATAGAGTAGATAGGCTGATATTAAAGTAAGGACAGAGAAGATTTCAGTCCTTGCAGGAGTCTGGAATCGAAGGGGTGAAAGGAGCAAAGTCCAAAGGTAAATAATGCAAGAATTGCAATTTATGATCGTCACGACTTGGCTTACTAGCAGATGAGGCACGCTCCGAAATTTCTTCGATTACTGTCAATTGCCTACCCCAGGTCCAGAACTCGTCGAAATATGCGGGGATGGGTCTGAGCCCCCCGCATAAGGTTGCTTTCGGGGGGAGCATAATTTTGGCTTCGGGTTGCGGATCTCATTATTAGGATTAGCCGATAGGCTACTCGGGAATACGGCATTCTCACCTCATTTACCGCATAATAGCCGTCTCCATCGGCGGGAATGACTCGCGGCACATTTCCACCAAATGATGGAGCGCTGCAAAGCCTCTTTTATCATCACAGTGAGATCATTGCCTTGATACCGACCGGTCTTATCGACAATTGATACAATATTGAAAATTCTTCTGAACTGCCGTCATGCCATCACGCTCGACTGCCATTGTCTCACACGGAGAGATTGATGCAAATGCTCTTGAAACATACGGCAAAGCTGGAGATGTGTTGCTTCGAATCGGGTATGTCAGACTCTAGCTAGACAGCGCATTGTTTTTCTGCCCCTTGGTTACCTACCTATCTATCTGAACCTTCGTCTGACAAGTCACTGACAATTGCCATCCATCTAGAAACGGTGGTGCAGGTGCCACTGGCTTGGTCAAAGAACTTGCCCAAGACTACTTGGAGTCTCAACGCAAAGATGGCTTGATTGAGTGGATGTGTAACCACTCCCGCAACACGCAGCTAGCGCTACTAAAAGGGTTCATTGACTTTGCCTTGACTTATGAACGCGACCAGGAAGCGTTAGCTCAGGCTGAGGGATGGTCATATACGGCTGGATGCGTATTCCACGACCACTTTTGCCTAGCAGGGCCCCCTTCAGACCCTGCGGGACTGGCATCCGCAGACTCATTAACTGATGCCTTTGAGAAGATCGCTGCCTCGGGCTGCCTGTTCCACAGCCGTGCCGACCATTCTGCCACTATGTGGAAAGAACGCGAAATTTGGTCTTTGGCTGGCCGAGAGCCATGGGAAGACCAAGCATCAACATCGTCCTGGTACAAGACAAGCTTGCTATCGCCACCAGAAGCCCTCAAAGGGGCCGATGCCGCTGGCGCCTACTTCCTGACTGATCGGTCAACAGTTTTGCGACAGACTGGACTTGGCACCATTTCCAATTCTACCATCTTCTTCGAACCAACTCAGCCAAGGGATATTCTGATGAACAGTTGCTATGCTTCATTCTCACCAGAGATGGCAGAGGCGGATACCCCCGTGGCGCATCACGTACGCGCTTTCTTCTTGTACCTTGTGTCGCCCCGAGGTCAAGCGGTGATTCGTGACTATGGCATTGCACAAACAGGATTGCCGCTGTTTGCTCCTGTCGAAGATGGTGTCGCATTGACGCGTTTGCGCGGAGGACGTCCAATTGGCGGCAAGTGGGTAAAGGACACCGAGTTAACCAAGGCGAGAATATAAATGTAGATGGGTCATAACGTGCTGCCCAGAACACATTCCATTATGACTTTGGCTTTTGGTAGTTAATTATTATGCTTGCTGTATCTGTCATTTTGTTTTACTTGAACTTGCGCGAATACATAGGAAATGTTGTAGAAAGCCACTGAGTGAATGTTCTGAAAAATAGTCTTACGTTAAATGTTGCCTCATCCGTTGTCATGGATACACAACCTAACCTTACTACCGCTGAAGCCATCCTTTAAATCTTGTATTTATCTTCTGCTTTATGTCAGAGAACTATTCTACTCTGCTGTTCAAACAAGCTTTCCTGTCCATTCTTCACTTGAGCTTGGGATATTCCAACCAGCTTGCCTTGGTCTCGATGCACATGTCAACACTTTCCTTGATATCCCTTGATGAAGATCCCAGTAAAACTTTGTAGTCACCAGCATCCACCGTCCAATTGTTCGCTGATGTATCAAAATACGCAAATGCTTCCAATGTCAACCGCACAGAACATGTCTTCTTTTCCCCTGCACCAAGTTCGACCTTGATGAAGTCGCGCAACTCTTTTAGCTCTATTGCACCCCGACCCATGGGAATAACCTGGCCAGGGACTGGATGATGGTTGTGGAACCGGACCTCAAGGTTATAGACCCTGCCTGCTTGTGCCTTGAATAGGCCCCTTTCTTCAATAGTACCTGCACAGGCAAAAAGGTCGCTCGGTTTCTGGTCGACCGTATTATCGATTACCTTTTCCCCCTCGATATACAAGTCGCCTTGACCGGCAGCGACAACTAACCCAAATTCCCAGTCCCCAGTGACATCCGGCTCAAAGACGGCAGAAAGCTTGATCCAGCATCTCTGGTTAACCTCATAAGTCTTGGTACAAGTAGTCGATTGTGGATCTCTTTTGCTAACGAACAGTTTGTGACGTCCTCCCATAACTAGGTTCCCTGAACTACATAGCTAGCGCTTTCTGATGAATAAGTCGCGCGCGGCAGTACAGGGGTTCATCCCAGACGCAATCATCTCAATAGGCAACCGTCGCACTGGCCTGAACTCTATATCGGCAAAGACAAGAGGGAGTGGAAATGATTAACCACTACCTCGTTTAAGGATGACAAACCACCATTTGTATTGATAATCAATGAAGTATGTCGTCTACACAGCTTCTAAGATATATAATGGTCACTTGGAATTGAAGCGCTTTGAACATCATCTTTAGCGAAAATTGTAGTTGTCCCATCAGTAAATATTCTTGTTGGCGCAATCATCATGCTTCTCTTCAACTTACTGTGGCTGATAAGCTTTGCCGTCTCTCACCCTTCGCATTCGAAGCCCTGCCCCCATATTTCAGGGAATATAAACATCGACGAGTATCAGTTGTATCCCGAGAACGCATTTTTTGATCCTAAAACATGCCTCCTTTATTTTTCGCGAGTCAACTTCCATCAAGAACCAGACGCCTGCTAACCATTTAAATGGTTCTATTTAATAGCAGTGTGTCTGTTTACGATCCCTACAAGCGACGCATCATCGATAATTTCACCTTTCCCAACATTACGCTCAATCCGAATCATCATGTTGCAGGCATTGCTGTCGATCCCTCAACCGGCCTGCTCGGTGTCACAGTCAATGATAGGATTGTGCTGCAGGCACTTGGCAAAGAGGCACCGAGCCTGAACTATTTCCTCCTCTACGACCAAAAGAAGCGTCAAGTCAAGAACTCGTTCAACATAAATGCTGTGACCAAAGGAAAAGTCATCGGCATCCAGGATCTAGATTACGATAAGCGCGGCCACAAATATGTTCTCGGCTCGTACCCCTCGAGCATCGTTCGAATTGACCCTTCAGGAAAAAGACCCACTGCCTGGTATATAGCTGAGCCATTTGCCGAAACTCACCTCAAGTATGGATTTGGCGGTATCCAGATCATAGGTGATGTGGTGCTCGTGAACGATAATACGATCGGCGGATTTAAGCGTTTCGATGCGCGGTCCTCGATTGGTTCTCCCACAGTTGTACCTTTTACTCCCAACGCCTCGATCGAGTGGAGCGATGCTATATTTGCGCCTCCGCGTTACCACGGAACAGTCGTCCTGGTTGCGGGAAACTACAAGGACATCTCGGTTATGCGCTCTCATGATGGCTGGAAGACAGCTGATTATATGGGCTTGATCACAGCGAGCGAGGTTGATATCCCATCGGGTGCTCTGACTGTTGCCACACTTCAGATTGGACAGAGCCTCTACGCGGCCCCAGAATTCTTCTTCGACGCCCCTGTGGCACCCTGGAACGTAGGGAACAGAACCCAATACACTTTGTATGACATAACCGCAAAGGTAGAAACTCTTTTGTGTTGAAGCAAGGCAATGATTGCTTTATTGATAATACTACCCTTGGATAATGACTCGTATGTCGCCCTGGTTGTGCTTTTGTCTTGGTTTGGTTAGGCGATCGAGCTATGAGCGCACTTTGTGTATTAGAATGCCACGGAAAGAATATAATTAATAGTCAAGTTCATTGTAGGACTACGCGATTGTTATGATTTTTATTACTTCCCTATTGTTGGCCTGGCGTACACCAGTACCAGGCGCTGCCTGCATCTAATCGTATATTTGATGGCGCGTATAAGTCTATATATTGGTAATCTAGAGCTTTATAATGCATTTTCATCACCAATGAAAGGGAACTCAAATACCTTGTAAGCGGTATCTGCGTAAAACGATTAAAGGGCAAGATAACGGCAAACCCCGACACGTTATACCAGCTTAATGTCAAATTCACCAGGTCTTCTAACCTCTCATAGATTAATTCTCACCATTTAAGTTTTCATAACATAAATGCCCTCAGCTAAACCTCCTGATACTCATACCACCATAGTCAGTAGCATAAGCGCGAGATACTCTGTCAGCTCCCCGGTAAAATACTTATCGCTAGCTCGGAGGATTGTAGAGCTTAAGCGACGGTTTTATAGTTGTTTATGGAATAAACCTATGTAGTATTCTATCTTTCCTATTGACCAGAAAGAACAAGTGCTTTCATGAATATAGGCAATAACAGAGAAGGCTCCTATTTTGTAGGCATTCTTGCACATTGTGGTTGATTACAATCAAATCGATTTTCGTAAGTCGCGGTACGTGCCCCCTCAAATGCATATCCAGAGGATAAATATAGCCACTGTGTCATTTGATAGTATAAATCCAGAACAAGACATGGATGGCGGTGGTTAAGAAATAAACTTATCAAATATGTTCCAACCCAGCCTCAGCTGATATGTTTTATTGGATAAGACGATAATAAGCTTACTCCAAACTAACCTTGCTTCTATTTATACAGGTTTCTAAATAGTACTAGTATAGCATTCGACTGAAATGAGATAGCTCTAGAGTTAAACTAAAGACGGCCAGGGAGCTTCATAAAAGTATAAGTAGCCAATTGGTGGCTTATATATCAATTCCTCGTCTTCATATCACAGTCCTGTTCCCTGTTCTTTTAGTTTCCCCTGCGTTAACACCAGTGTTTCAAAATGTTGCATCAGGCAATTCTTCTTGGTCTTGTCGCCAGTACCGCAGCAATCGACATTGCGTTCTATAGCAACAAGCAAGGTGCTTGCTATCAGGGCCCTTCTGTACATTGAACAAACAAAATCCACACTCCTGCTGTCGCGTTACAGAAGGCAATAGCGGCACATTCTGGGCTACTGTCGGTTTCCACGCCGTCCCGCTCGGGTGGAATATTCAGGGCCTGGCATATAAACATAGAGGTTCCGAAGCCTGTCAGGGTCTGCCTATTCAGGCGGATCACAGCCACGGCAATGGGGACTTTTTCCTTCGTCACACTGGAACGATCTTTTTGAGCGCAGAATAGTACTTCACCGATAATATCGACAAGAGGGCTGCAGGACAAAAGTGTGTGGGATCGGAGCGAGTGTCTCGAGTGAGTTTTGAGGACGGAAGCATGTATGATATCGCTGACATGTCTGACGATGACCTCAAAGAACTGTTATGTTCAAATATCACTTCAAATTTTCAGAAGACAAGATTCTCTAACAAGCAGTAGTAAGAACCCTGATGTTGACCCTGCTGAGCATGTCAGCAGATGAGCTATAGCAATACTCATTGTTAAAGAACTAATACTAACTCTTGTATAGCTTATATGTCGTAATAAACGGAACAGCTGCAGCAGATATGCCTCAGCATCCTCATCTACATAGATTGAAGTAATTGGTATCTGCAGTAGCAGGATTGGATTATGAGATGCCCGAGTTTATGGCGTTCCTAGATCGAAGTGCAGGGATTAAACTTCATGCGTTGGTTAGAATTTCTCAAATGATTAAGATACAAAGGTTATATTTACTTACGGTGACCAGTGGATTTTCTTCTCAAGTGCTTTCGCTTACCTATCAGCCCTAAAAAACCCATTTGCATCAGTTAAAGGAGATAGGAAGCTATGTTAAAAAAACAGGGGCTCTGATTCATTTGTCCATATTAATATCTGCCAGGGGCTTAAGCTAATAGGACCCACTTCCACAGTTAATACTCGATCACAATTGGTTATACTTCACTCTCGGTGAGGTCTAGAACACTTCTGCCCAAGCCATAGGGTACTAAGGTCCAAATCTAAAATATATTATCGCTTACTAAATTCGATAGCTTCCAATAGTCAATTCCACTATTGTTTGGCAATTTAAAGTCACTCAGTATAATAGCGGTGGCAGTCTCTTCTATCTTTTTTCAACCTCTCTCACTTTTTGCTCGTTCCAAACTTCCTCGTACGTTCTCAGGATGATTGCCCCAAATCGCTTGGTTGCGGCATCCTTGATGCTGGTCTTTGGACAAACCAATGCTGGACCATGTCGCCCATCTTCAAATAGCATCGTGTTATCATCTAACGTCGGCATTCATGAGTCATCAACACTCACCAAAGCCCAATCCGCAACCTCTGGTGCCTCACTGTCTGATGCATCGACCATCAGTCACATCTACACTGAAACTACCTCCGATGCCACTGCGATGAGTTTGTCTACAAGCATCACAATCTCTCTCGAGTCCACAACCACAACATTCTCGACCGCGACAGAGTCTCAGGACACCATTGTTGATACAACTTCTGGTGCAACCAAGGAGACCCAAAGTACCTCGGAAGCTCCTTCAACTGAAGCAGCCACACCTACAACTGAGCAAACAACAACTACAGTACTTGGGAGAACGACTGAAACTACTACGGAAGCAGCCACCACCTTGGCTCAGGAAATTACCACTACAACTGCTGAAAGCACAACCGAACCATTGGCCAGTTCTATCGAAACCACAACTATAACCACTGCTGCGCTAGCAGCCCCTACTTTCAATCTGATTGCTCAAGGAGGACTTTCCGATGGAGTTGTTCTCCATTCCAATGGCCAATACTTCCAGATCCGAACTTCACAGTACACCACCCCATACCCTGCAACATTTCCAGAAGCCGCTCTGAGCTACGACCAAGCGACACAGCATCTCCTTATTAACGGAGTGCCTCTCTGCGTGTATTATGACACACAGGGCATTATTGGCGGTTTATATGCTTGCCAAGGTGTCCCAACTGGTCAATATGGCTATCTGACTTGTGACCCACCATCAAATGGTGGTCTGGCATGCAATGTCCCAGGTCTTCAATACGATCAGCCTTCTTCTAGCTTGATTGATTTGGGACAGACATGGAGTCAGTTTTATTATCTCGAACAAATGACTGGGTTGGGTACTCTCCTGATTGGCCGGGCAGGCCTGACGAAGAACGAGATCAAGTATAACAGGTTCGACCCTATTAACATCTTGGTAAGGGAAGTGTAAATATAGTACAGTGTTGCTAGAAAACCTATTCTGTACGGCGCGGGTATTTTTGAAGTTTAGCATTTTCAATTAATTTTCAAAGCTTAAATTTTATACCTAATTAAAGCTGATAGAATTCTTATTTCCATCTCTCTTAAAAGGAAATTCACTGCTAAAGGTTCAGGTGAGTAGATAACACATAAGAAACGACATTCCCTTCTTGGCATTCCTACTTGGTAATTATTGGTCCACATCAGTCTGACGATGTCCAGCATTTATGGTTTTTGTTCTTAGCAACTTATAACCAACAGCATGTTATATTAAACGAGGGTCATGGAAGAACACTAGAGAGGGATTAACTCGGCCATTGACCCTGCTACCTATTATAATAGTGAATTGGCTAAGTTACCTTTTTTTTATATAGGAGTTTAGTATAATACTATTATATCATAAGTTAATTTACCCTTTATATATCTTATAATTTACCTTCTCCTAAAGTAATAAAAAGGTTTTCTATTTAATAGTTAAATCTATTTAAAAATATAATATATATTATATAAATAAGGTTATATATTTCTTTAAGGTCGAGGGCTGCAAAGACCTTTTTCCTTTATAATTAATCCTTAAATTTTATTATAAGTAAAAGTAGGATTTAATTCTTCATAATATATGTATTAACTTCTTTATAATTTATAATAAAAGGTTATCTTAGTTACTTAATTTTATACTTATAATTATTAATAATACTATAAATAGCTATCTAATTCAAATTTATATATAATTATAGATAAGCTGCCTTATTTATAATAGTAACTACTAATATTATGATTTATATTTTCGTCTTCGCTCTACTTCTATCTCTCTTACCAAAGGTATCTGTATTTTGGGACTCCAGATAACGTCTCACTTCCCCTGGCCTTTACAGTAACAACTTCGCCGGGCATGAGATCGATACAGTTGTCCTCCAAAGAGACGCCGGGTAGCTCCTCAAAGACCAAGCCTTTGGTGGGCTTGCTAGCCGTGAGCTGATAACCATCTGGCCCGACCTGAATCTCAACCCCTCTATCGGAGAAGTCCAGATACTTGAGAGGTTGAGGCCAATCTACGTCTTGGGAAACACAAACGCCAGACTGCAGGACACTGACCGATATAACATGCGGCTCATCCTTTGCATTGTCAATCTGCCCAGTGAGGATATCAGTCGTACCATTCGGGACCAGGACAGTATTGGCCTTGACAATTTTATCCCTGATATCCCTGCCAGTCTTGATAGAAATGAAGCGAATCTCAACAGTGACAGTTACCTCCTGCTGCTTGCTGCTCGCAACCCAAACTTCAAATGAAGAAGTCTTCGCTGGCCTGGCATGCACGACACTCCAGTCGTGGTGTTGTCGTTGGACTCCGGCAGCGATGGGCTTGAGTGCTCGACGAATAGAATAGTAAGCTGGCTTCTTAGTGAGGAAGTAATCGACGATGGACCATGAGATGGCAGGCCAGCAATCGTTCATCTGCCAGACGAGAACACCGCCACATCGACGATCATCTCCCCATTG